CTTCTTCTTCTTCTTCTTCTTCTTCTTCTTCTTCTTCTTCTTCTTCTTCTTCTTCTTCTTCTTCTTCTTCTTCTTCTTCTTCTTCTTCTTCTTCATAATTGGATTCACAATTGGATCCTTTTCCTTTTCCATCCTTCTTCTCGATACCATCTTTCTTTCTTTCTTTCTTTATTTCATTCATTCATTATCTCTTTTTCTCTTTGGATCCTCTTCCCCCTATTGGTTGAAATTTTACGAACAAGGTCCAAAGGCAATTGGATGGGTAATGATTAGAACTAAGACAGACGGCACTAGGAGACATCGAACTTTCACGTTTTATAAGCATTGATCAGAATTATCGATAATCTAAAGAACCGAAAAAATCAACGTCCCTAATCTTTTTTCCGTTTATTTCAACGAAAAGAACCTAATCCGATGTACCATAGAATATCGAAATTGAAATTCACGTTTGATCTTTACCATAACAGATAATAGCATGGAATCGTAGATTTTTTCCGAGAGAAAGTTACGACAAAGTAAATCAAATATTATGGCATTCGAACCGATCGTAATTTACATATTGAATTTTTTCTACAAGTAAAATAAAACTATTTGTTACATTTTTGCGTTGTTCTGTTGGTACGTAAAGGATTTTACGTTTGCTTGTACGTTTTATTCTTGACAAGTTCACTATGTTAAATAAATTTACACGAACGAAATCCGATTACGTAAAATTTACTTTCACGGGACGACGTTCGAGAATCGAACTGAATCGACATTAACCTGCGCTATCGATTCGATGACCAATTCGCGGTCGTGAATTTAACGGTAGAGAGATAGTGTTGACGTTTCGCGTAGGTGGAATAACAGAATAACATTAAAATTGCGTGCACGTGTCCTACGGTATTACGTCACCTTTATTCGATCACATGAAATCGTGATTACAATTAACGGATTCTCATGCGATAAGGAAAAGGGATTCAATGCGCGTTATCCGTTTACATGCCATTCCAGTTGAATCACGCTATTCCTTCCTATCCTTTTACCAACGAAGAAACGAATTTCGTGTTCCATACAATCGATTGTCCTATTTTCTAATCAAAACTTTCAATTCGATATCTCGAAAATCTTCAATTCCAATTTTTCCTTTACGTGTTTTAACAATTTAACAAAAAACTATCATTATTTTCTATTCGAAAATTTATTATTAGCAATGTAAAAACTAAAATTATTTCTATTCTAACTAAAATAAGAAATAAAAAAGAAAGAAAAAAAAAAATTTTAAACTGCCTAGGAATTCTTACTTCGAAGCACGAACACGATAACGACCAAAGCCCGACCTTTTAAACGTTGGGCTTTGTTGTTCCGACTAGAAAAAAAAAAGAAAAAAAAATTGGTATGTCACCGGAAAGAGTGAATCACGTATTCAGCACTGGTACCCTAAATCCAGCACTATTTATGGCTGGAACGTTCACAACGGGTTTAGTTATAACTCCCTTTCAGACAACACGAGAACTTTCCTTATCTCCAAATCTTGGAAAGTTAAAACTCGAGCATAAGGTATGAGATCGAAAAAGAACTAAACCCTAATGTATCTATGAATGAATTGGACATAATCAATGCGAAAGATCTATTTTGTGTCCATTACTATTACCATTTACAAATAACCAATGATAAAAAAGTTATTTTCCGTAAGATCGCATCAACTGATTTCAGTACATCAGTGTACTTACATTTATTGTTATTTATGAATAACACATTGTAATTTAACTTGTACTGAACTGCAGCTAATGTCCGACTGAATTGTAAATAAAAAAGAAATAATAATAATAAACAAAAATAGAAAAATAAATAAATAAATGAAAAAAAATAGGACCAAACGATAGTAACTAAGCAAACAAGTAAGTAAGTAAGCAAGTAAGCAACCAAACAAGCAAGCAAGCATCCAATGACGCAATTCGGCTCGGTCGTCGAACCTAAGGCCTCGAAAAAGGCGTTCAAGTCGAGACCGGCACTTTCATTCATTCGAGAAAAAAAGTATCGGCATGCACATGCACGGTCGTTGCACGTATTTCGAATTGCAATAGGTTTTCTCGAAAAAAAAAACATCTAAGCTTCGCCAAGTAGGGTACTCTCGATACACGCAATTCGACTCGTTCAAATAACACGCATTCCGTGTTATTCTATGGCTCGGCAACCGGTACTTAACGACCAATGACGACGGACGAGCTATTCTTCGTCAAAACGATTCTCCTTCCTTGCATTCCAATCATCCAAACTCTCTTTTATATTCTACGACGTTAGCAGAAAATATTGTTCTATCTAATCGAATAACAAAATCGGATTTTTTATTATCCAATACTTACGATCCAATCGAATGTTCTGCTATGAACAATAATGACTTCATTTTTTCTAATTAAACAAATAATCTTACTTTTTATCAAACTTAAATTACAAATACTTACGATAAAAATTTGATAATTTGGTCGTACATTTAATTTTGATAATAACATAACATTCTTTACTTTTCTTTTTATATAAAAAACACTTGGATAGTTTTATTTTTCTTCTGTTGCAGAGATCATGGGATCTGCGTGGCAGTTAGCGACAACTGTCGTTTTCTTCTTGATTCAATCGAATTTATTACACGCTCATCGCGAACACAAGGTTCGTAAAATTTTGTGAAGGAACCGTTGTTGCTTGACTACTTGGAATCTTTGTTTCAAGCATTTTAATCATCCGTTACAGGTCCACAACATAGTACTTTATCCAGACAAGCACAGTTGGTGCAAAACAACGCCTATCAAACAGGTAGTCGCGTGGCCACAATGCTCTTCCCAAGAACTCGATAACAACGTGTGCGTTGGAGCTTGTTTTTCTTACATGGTACCCCACAGCGAGCCATCCGCTCCTGGTGATTTGATAAGACCCTATTGCGACTCCTGTCAACCTCTTGACAGCGTTTGGCATACGGTAGGTATCTTAGTTCCAATGAACACACATCAAAATCAATGTTTCAAGGAAGAAATGAAAAATTTTGTAAACATCTAATGATTAATCTAGCGAATTATTTTAACTTTTTTTCGGGATCAAGGTTACCTTGGATTGTAAGGACGAGGAAAATAATCCAATGACTATGCAGAAAAAGGTACAAATAATAACCAATTGTTCGTGCAGTTCATGCATGGAAACGTCTAGAATCAAACCAGATTACAATACTTTACTACAATCGTTGACCGTTGAAAATTTGGATAAGAACGTTAACGTTGTTCATGAGACGCCGGATCTTCTGTTGAATCCTAATTTGAATTCGTCGAAAAATACCACAAGAGACCGGGTAGAAGCTAACGAAAGATTTTTACAATTATTTAAGCAAGGATTGAAGGATTCGGAGAATTTAGATGAGATAGATTTTAAAAAATTGTTTTCGAAATTTGGAGAAAAGATAGATACGGATAAATTGAGGGATTTATTGAAGAAACTTAGTCAAGAGGACGAGAGGCATCAAGAAAATCAACAAAATAACAAACAGCAGCAACAACAACAACAACAGCAACAACATCACGGTCCAACGACGATGTTACATCGTGGTCCTCATCATTCGATGGTTCTGGATTCCGGTGTGAAGGAAAAAATCGACGTTGAGCCGCATTATCTTCATCCAGCTGTGGCCGGTCAAGAGATCAGTTATCACGACAACGTTGTCGTCGACAAGGGCAAGAAGAAAGATTTTTGAGATCTCTCGAAGATCGAAAACGATCGTCTCGTTTTACAAAATTGGATGCCGGACTGGGTTTATTTTGAACGAGTTGGACGACAAACGAGCGGATCGTCGTAAACGGAGGAACGAACGACACGACACTTCTTTCCCACGCTGATTCCACTAGAATCGATTGGTAAGGAATTTTTCATGCCTGGTCCATAAAGTTAAAAGGCATAAAAATTTGTATGCGACGGTAGTTAGCAATTTTATTTTTTCCCTTGTTTTCTTTTTTTTTGTTTTGTTTTCCCCCATTTTTCCTCACATTAATCGTCAAAATATTTAAACTGCTTAAGTAGGGGTATATGATTTATTTTTTGTTTTGTATTATTAGCGATCGAATTTATTCTTTTATACAGCTTATAATCTTTTATATATGTATATAGAGATAATATTACATTTTAAATTATTCCTCGTTTGTTAATGCTACGAATTAGTATATCAGTGAACAAAAAATTACAACGAGGGTATCGAGCCAAGGAGAAAAGAAATAAAGAGAAGAGAGAGAGAAAGAAAAAAAGCACGTGATCGGACTCTTACCGTAATTTTCGAACATTTCGTGTTTCGGTTTGTCACAGAATCGATCATGTATAGATTAAAAATAAATGGAAAACTAGAGTTTCCAAGTTAATTTCGTATTTAATGTTATGAGTGAGAGTGGGAGAGAGATAGAAAAATGAAGAAAGAAAGAGAGGGAGAATGAGAGAGAGCGAGAGAGAGAAAAAAAAGAAAGAAAATTTTAATATATATTTAGTTTTTATTATTATGTTAACTATTTAACAAAAATCACGCATTTCATAAAAGCTAGCACCGAGACAACATTAATAATTTTTTTAAACTAAAAAAAGTTTCTTTTTTTTTATTTTATAGACCAAAAGGAAGAACATTGATGTGCGCTTTTCATGTCGCATTTTATTCAATTTTATTTTATTTTTTTTTTATTTTTTCTTTATTCATCATCGCTTCTACTTTTTATTAATGCATTGTAATGTCATTGTTCTCGTAGAGAATAAAAGAGCGAACGGTAACAAGACCAGTTATTTTCTACTTCGTCGTGTACAATCATTTATTTTTATCGGTGTATTATTATTTCATGTCCTGTATTTTATCTAATTGCCTAATGTTAACGTAATTATAAGCCGATGACAAATGCATTTTTTAACGAACAAAGAAATCGCAACGAATGTAATCGGTAATACCAGAATGATATTTCCTAAAAAGGAACACGAAAAAACAGCAAAGAAAAAAACAATAAACAGATACGTTTATTTCCTTCTATTCATTTATCATTTTTCGATATTTATTAAACAAGGAAACAAGATAAAGAGAAATTAAGGTGCGTCGTCTTGTGCAAATATTTCAACAACGTAGATTCAAAGTAAAGAACAAATTTTCTTGAATATTACAAAATCTTAAATCCTTGAAATCATAAAATAGAATATTTACAAAGATATTATTCAAACAAATTGTGTTAAAATTCTTTTGTCATACAGGAGTCGTATACTATTCGATATTTAATCAATTATCTGATTATTATCCTTATTAATGATTAATAATTAACGTTATTTCTCTATTTCAGTATAACTTCCAATAAAGATATTAAAATAAAATCTAAAGAACAAACACATATTCTAAAAATAAATCGAGAAACATAGCATAAACGGAATTGTTAAACTTAGGAGAGAAGACTTGTTCGAATTTAAAAAGCTACATATATATATACATATAATTGGATGAAAGATATGCGACAAATTTATGCGTTTCTCGTCGGTAAAGTTAAAATGATATCAGTAAAGACGATGATCCTCTGACACGGCTGAGATCACTCAACGAAACATGAAAGTTTCAACGTTAAATACATGCATAAACGCATGTACGCGTAAATAATATAATAAAATAAATAATATATACATATATATATGAGAAGGGAGTATCCAATGGAATGAGTGGTGTACAGGTTGTACTTATAGATTCAACGACGAAGAAGATGAAAAAGGATAAGTTTCTACCGGTGGATCAGGCAAAGGAATGTTGAAGATCAAGAGAAAGGCGGTATGTACTTATATATATATATACGTATACACTTACTCACTCACTCACTCACTCACTTACTCACACACACACACACACACACACACACACACACACACACATATATATATATATATATATATATATATACGTATTTTCTTCACGGGTATTCACAATACTCTTTACTTTCTCTTATCGTTTAGCCATTAGACTAAGACCGACATCATCGAGTGCTCGTTATTACGAAACAACACGTTTGAAAGATGATAAAAAAATGAAATAAAATAAAACGATTAGAGAAATAAAGCATTCGCTTGAAATAACAGTTCCAATGGCAAGTTGATCAGTGATAACGAATATTCTCAGCCAATCGCAATCGTTGTATGAAATCGGAAGTTGGAATCGTGGTGACGCTCGAAAAGCATTTGCCGAGCTGCACGAACGAACGAACCAGTGTCGCTTGGTTCGTCGAGCCTGTTGTTCCTACTCTCTCGTCGACATTATTATTATTATCATTATTATCTATAACGCTGTTATAGTTCTTGTTATTATCTTCGTATCATCAGTCATTGTTATCAAAGACAATCGGAGGAATGACGGTGACTTCGATCGCTGGATCAAACGATCTAACTCGAGCGAACGATACTAATCGATTTGTAGTGTTTTCACATTATCCGGATATTAACCGATCTTTGATCAAGTATGATCGACAAATAAGATAGAGAAAAGGTTTCTTCTCAAGGATTTCACCGTTTCTACGAAAAAAGAAAAAATAAACAACTTCATTATACCAAGGACGATTAAAATTGTGCGTGGTGGCCTTTTGTAAAGACACGATTTTGATCGAATACGAACGAAAGATCAAGAAATTCTTGTGCCTTTTTTATTCGTTTAAAAAAAAAAACAACGAAAAATTGGTTTTTTCTTTTTCTTTTTTTCTTTTTTTTTATTTTATTTTGTCAATATCGAACGAAGGAATAAATTAACGGAAGAACTTTACGAATATCCAATCTCTTCCTGCGTTTTTCTTCTATTGCATATCCTCATCAGTGCTTACCGATTCTTCGTACCGATAAGTAGTCACCTGCATCGAATTTAAGTGCACCATTTTTGCCGATGCACGACGTATTCGTCGTTTCGTCCCAATCGAAAGACAGACGCTGTGTCGATTCGAGATGCCTGATAAACCCGTAGTTTTTGATTATTTTTGAAAAACGCTGCATCTTTTTCTTTCTTTCTCTATCTCTTTTCGTGAAAGTGAATTATATCTCAAATCGGAGAATACCAAGTTTTGCAATTTACTCAAAAAGAAAGAAGACAGTTTTTCACCAAACGACAACATGGATATCATGGATGGTACGATATTTATTATTATTATTATTATTATTATTATTATTATTATTATTATTATTATTATTATTATTTTCCTATGTTCGATGTTTATCTTATTTATACATAAAATGAGATTTTTGTTATTATATTAATACTTTCTTTTTATTAATAATAAAATAAAATTATATATATTTTTGTATCACTTTACTCTAACAAAAAGTAAATTCTTTATTATTGTTATTAACATAATTTTTATGTTGCAAAAAAGGCAAATATTTTTCAATAAAAAACAAAATATTTTAATGACACGAGATTATCAAAGTTATATACAACAATAACGTACTAATAACGTAATAATTGATAACACTTATTATCTAAATAAGTAAAAAAATAAAGTATTAAATGGATAACATATTATTTAAATTAGATACAGAAAAAGTATATTAAATAATTTTTAGCACAAACAACAGTTGCATTTAATTTTAAATGTCTTTCCTTATCTATAATTGATCAAATTGTTTTCTCAACTGATCGAAACGATCGATTGTAAGATAATCTTAAAAGATTTAATAATTCGTCAAAAAATAACCCTCTTGACAAGTTTATATCACGAATCTAACAACCTTTCTATATATCGAATAAATCGATACGAATCATCGGAATTCAGAGGAAGTGACTTCATTTCCAATTCTTATTTCGTGTCATTCTCAGACATACGAATTTGTGCGCGAGTTTTACAAATTATTTCCCTAATAGGTAGAATTTTTTACGGAAACAAAATAGCAAAACATACAAGCAATCAATTAGTTTAAGTTATCGTCTAATGTAACATACGAAAAACATATAGATTGCATCACACGTGCAACCTTATTTTTATCTAATTGTTTGCTGCTAATTATCATATATAATTATTTAAAGTATTTCGATAAAAATAATTGCATTATTATAAAATTATCTCATAAATATTGGAATTAATCTAATGAAAATATTATTTAGTTTGTGTAATTAAAGTTTCAAAATATCTTCCAACACCGTACACCAATCTTCCCTATACTCTAGAAAAAAAAAAAATTAAAATAATGTAAATATTGAATTAAAAATGTCCAAGAAGAAAGTACAATTTCTTGTTCTATTTAAATTCCCATAAATTTCATATATTATTATTATTATTATTATTATTATTATTATTATTATTATTATTATTATTATTATTATTATTATTATTATTATTATTATATTATTTCTCTCCGACTTCTCGGGCATATCAGCATATCAGACAGGACTCTTGCCAGGTCTGACAGCTTTAATCTCCTGAATTTAGAAGGCTCTGGTTATGTTGCATGTTTTTAATATAACTGCCTTTTGTATTTCTTGGTGTATATTTGGGTCTAGTTGTAATTGTGTGAGATGTGGTTTACAATTATTCGGTGTAATGCCTGTTGCTGATATGATGAAAGGGATGATGTGCACCTTTTTTTGTTTCCATATTCTGTGTATTTCTTGTACAAGTGGTGTGTATTTTTCTATTTTTTCTCTGTATTTCTGTGTGATGTTGATGTGGTTTGGTACTGTAATGTCTATTAGGTACGTTGTCTTTTCTTCTTTGTTTGTAAATATGATTTTAGGTTTGTTGTATTTTACTGTTTTTTCTGTGTGTAATGTTGTGTCCCAGTATAGTTTGTACTTTTCGCTATCTATTATTGTTGTTGGTGTGTATTTGTAATATGGTGTTATAGTGTTCTCCAGTTTGTATTTGTTCACTATTTCTTTATGTATGATTTTTGCTGCCGAGTTGTG